ATATATATATATATATATATATATATATATATATATATATATATATATATTATATATATATATATATATATATATATATATATATATATATATATATATATATATATATATATATATATATATATATATATATATATATATATATATATATATATATATATATATATATATATATATATATATATATATATATATATATATATATATATATATATATATATATATATATATATATATATATATATATATATATATATATATATATATATATATATATATATATATATATATATATATATATATATATATATATATATATATATATATATATATATATATATATATATATATATATATATATATATATATATATATATATATATATATATATATATATATATATATATATATATATATATATATATATATATATATGTAGGGGCAGGGGTGGGGGGTTGCAGTGGGTAGCACAGTTGCCTCACAGCAAGAAGGTCACTGGTTTAAGCCTCAGCTGGGTCAGTTGGCATATCTGTGTGGAGTTTGCATGTTCTTCCCGTGTTGGTGTGGGTTTCCTCCTTCACAGTCTAAACACATGCGCTATAGGGGAATATAGTGTATGAGTGTGTGTGTGAGTGTGTATGGGTGTTTCCCAGTGATGGGTTGCAGCTGGAAGGGCATCTGCTGCGTAAAACATATGCTGGATAAGTTGGCGGTTCATGCCATTGCGGCAATCCCAGATTAATAAAGGGACTAAGCTGAAAAGAAAATGAATGAATGAATGAATATATATGTGTTCAAGAGTTCCCACTGAAGGCTGATTTATACTTCTGTGTCAAACGCACGTGTTCGGAGTCTGGGCGGGACCGAGAGCGCGACCCTGATGGAGTGATTGTTTACAAGTGTGGAGTCCTGTGAAGGAGCTCCGGATGGAAAGTTTTGTTTTGTGTTTACCTCATAGTTAAAGTTGTTGCACGTCTGCCGGTTCCTGACTCAAAATGAGCGAGTTTGAGCCACTTGTACATTCAGGAAGTGTTCAGAATGAGCAAAACACCAGCGAAGAAACTCGAGACACATTTACACCTCACTGCCAACTAGCGTTTCGGAAGTGTTAATGCAGACCAATAGTGACAGCGCGCAGAAGTATAAATGCACAGCTACGGGCGTTGCATGCGCTGTGGGTTAAGCCGGTCACTTGACGCAGAAGTAGAAACCAGGCTTTAGATATGCATGGCATTTATAGCAGGTTTGGCATGCTGTCCCAGGAGAGAACCCTGAGCTTGGAGATACTTGAGCCCAAGGCTCCCGCCCGGTCATACAGCATATAAGGGGATCCGAGATCAGGTTGGTCTTGAGAGCTCCCCCTTAGAAAAGGGAGGAAAAGGCGGAGTTGGGGTGGAAGAGGGGATTCTTCCAAAACAAAGATAGAGCAGTAGGGAGAGAACATTTATAGTATGCCTGGATCACTCTGATTGGATTATTACTGATTCCAGATGAGCAGCCAGTCGTGCTCAACCATATCATGTGCTAATCTCGAAATTAGTTTGTGATACTTAACGGAGGGAAGATTTCTTCTGCACATTTCTGCACATAATAGTGTTAATAACTCATTTCTACTAACTGTTTTCTTTTCTCTTTGTCATGATGACAGCACATAATATTAGACTAGATATTCTTCAAGACACTGGTAGAACTAGTAGAAAGAATGAGCGACTTTCAGTCTAGTCATGTTTCCTCCTGTGATTGCAGTGCATGTCAGTGTGAATGTAGCTTGATGGAGTGCAGTGGAGCTTATGCTTCCAAATTCTTTTGTGGCAGCTGTAAACACACAGGCATGTCTAAGCACCGTTATAAACGTGCACATTCACACTCACACACCTGTGTGTGGACAGAAATGGCACGTAGACGCACAAAAGCACCATAATTCATGCAGAGCAGACACTCAAAACAGCTGACTACAGGACAGCACAGATGAGGAGGAGAGCAGCGCGCGCACACACACACACACACACACACACACACACACACACACACACACACACACACACACACACACGCACACACACACACACACACACACACAAACACAAAGGTCTACACTCTTGTGCTAATGCATCTACCACAGCACAGCACTGGCCAGGATTTCCCCCATGATCCCCTGCCAGACCATCCTCAGTGTGTGAGACTATGAAAACACTTCTCCACATTACCCACAATACACTGCGTCTGATTAACCTCTTCTTTATCAGAGATCAGTTTGCATTTGAGTTCAACAGAAGAGACGAACACAAACAGGTTTGGAACAAGTGGACGGTGAGTAAATGGCAGAATTGACCATTTTGGGGTGAACTGACCCTTCAAATAGCTTAAAAGGGGCACTTTAGGGGTGCAGTGGCAGAAGATGGCCTGTCGCTTTAAAGTAATATATGAATATAAAACAACAGAACTGCATTCTGCAAGACTGTCCTCTGGCTAAGGGAACGGAGGAGCAGTAAAGCCACAAGCACATGGGTGCTGAGGGGTCAAGGTTGCAGGGGTCAGGGGTCAGAGGTCATGTAATACTTGTGTGGGGTGTGTGTGTTGCTCAGACGGTGCTGTGGACAGCAGAGAGAAGTCCATGGTCTGGCGTTTGAGACGGGCAGACAGCGGCGTCTCCTCTGAGTCAGTAAAGAAACGCAGCATACTGGCAGAGTGACGGCGCCTGAAACCCTCCCGCTGGACGGCACACAAGCACAGATTAACACACACACAAACAGACACAAATATATTTACACACACACACACACACATACACACACACACACACCCACACACAAGTATATATACACACACACTCGTCTCATTCCAGAATTGCAGGTATATTTCAAGCATTTAAACTGGATGTGCAACAACTGTATCATTTACAGTAAACTGAATCCATTATTGATTTAAAATATTACAAATGCTTAAATTTGACAGGGAACATTTGATTATGTTACTAGTAGTTTGCCTTATTATTAAACTTTTTAAAGAGTTAACGATAACAGAGTTGACAATAACAAAGTTGACGTAACAAAGTTGACTTAACGGAGTTTACGTAACGTAATTGACATAAACAAGTTTAGTGTAACGGATGTAACGATAATCCAGGTGACAATAACCAAATTGATAACTGAGTTGATACAACCAAGTTGATGGTATTGGAGTTGACGATAACAGAGTTGACGATAACAAGGTTGACAATAACAGAGTTGATGTAACCGATTTGACGATAACCGATTTGACGATAACCGAGTTGACGATATCCAAGTTGATGATAACGGAGTTGACGATAACGGAGTTGACGGTAACAGAGTTGACAATAACAGAGTTGATGTAACGGAGTTGAGGATAACCAAGTTGACAGTAACAGAGTTGATGTAACGCAGTTGACGATAACTGAGTTGACGATAACAGAGTTGACGATAACAGAGTTGACGATACCGGAGTTGACGATAACGGAGTTGACGGTAACAGAGTTGACAATAACAGAGTTGATGTAACGAAGTTGACGATAACCAAGTTGACGGTAACGGAGTTGACGGTAACAGAGTTGACGATAACGGAGTTGACAGTAACGGAGTTAATGGAAACAGAGTTGACAATAACAGAGTTGATGTAACGGAGTTGACGATATCCAAGTTGACGGTAACAGAGTTGATGTAACGCAGTTGACGATAACCGAGTTGACGATATCCAAGTTGACGATAACGGAGTTGACGGTAACAGAGTTGACGATAACGGAGTTGACAGTAACGGAGTTAATGGAAACAGAGTTGACAATAACAGAGTTGATGTAACGGAGTTGACGATATCCAAGTTGACGGTAACAGAGTTGATGTAACAGAGTTGACAGTAACATTTGATTGCAACGGACTTGATGATAACAGAGTTGATGAAAACAGAGTTGATGATTCCCGATTTTGACGATAACAGAGTTGATGTAACCAAGCTGGTGATAACAGAGTTGACGTAACTAAAATGACAATAACTAAGTTGAGAATAACCGAATGAGGATAACAGAATAGATGATAACCGATTTAATGACAATCCAGTTGATGATGGAGTTGACAATAACGGAGTTGACCATACACAAGTTGATGATAACAGAGTTGATGGAAACGGAATTGATGTTAACAGAGCTGACAATAACAAAATTGGCGCAATGTGGTTGACGTAACCAAATTGATGATAAAAGGGTTGACGCAACCAAGTTGACGATAACGGAGTTGACAATAACAAAATTGTTATAACCAAAGTGACGTAACCAAATTGACGTTAGAATTGATGCAACCAAGTTGAAGGTAACTAGGTTTACAATAATACTTGACATAAACAATTTTCCCTAAATACACAAACAAATATTAAAACAAAGACAACTTGATATAATTTGTGTAATTATTCAAAACTGATTCATTGTTGTTTAAAATTAATAAAGTTTATCTCTGATACAAGACATATAACTGCAATTCTAGAATCACACACACACACACACACACAAACACACACCGCAGTAGCACAGAAATTCAACATAAATAATGCAAACACAATGCGAGTCGGCGTTACCTTGTCGAGGGGGTGTGGCTTTTCATTGCTGCGCTCTGATTGGCCGTTTCCAGAGTCAGTGCTAATCAAAGAGTTGCGTGAGTCCGTGTGCCGAACAGAGCTGTGGCTGAGCGGAGACACTGACAAACACAACACACATCAACACATCTGTACACTACAGTCATATACTCAGGATATCAGTGTGCACAGCATTACTCTAACTCTGTTAAGCCTGACATATCAAATAAGGAAATTAGAAATATTTAATTTTTAAATGAACAACCAATAAAAAACAAAAACAAATGTGCTTTTTTATCATTTAGTGTCATATCTGATTAGGCTCATAAAGTAAAGCTGTGAATGAAACCCTGCACATGCATCTGATATATGGCGTTAAATACATGTTCTTTATTTAAAATCTAAACATGAACTTGTGTGTAATATATGTAATTTGCATATTTTTCCATACACGTTAAAAGCAGCATGATCAGTACTTTCAGAGAGAACTGACACACTGCATGTCGTATTGTGGTTAATTGTGACGGCGTCTCACCTGTTCCTGAAATCACTCCAAACAGCTCTTTATGCAGGCCACCGTCCACTGGACTGCCCGCAGTTTTGTGAGGCGTCATTAAATGATCATCACGGCCATTCTGAAAAAAAACACAGAGAAATCAGTCTGAATATCAGATTTAATAAGAGGTCTTTCTCAAAATTAAAGGGCCAGTTCACACAAAAATTAAATTTACTGACTATTAACTCTCTCTCAAGTGTTTCCAAACCTTTAGGAGTTTCTTTCCTCTGTTGAAAACTAACGAAGATACTTTGAAGCATGTAGGAAACCGGCAACCATTGACTTCCATTAAAACAAACACTATGGAAGTCAATGGTTAATGGTTTTCAACATTATTTTTTTTTATTATTGCTTGGCCTCTTCCATAAAACATGAATAATATTTTTTATTTAATATTTATTCTCACATTATAATGACTTTTATCTTAAGTTTAAATCTCTTATTCTTTATTAATAAATTAGTAAATTGTTATTATATATATTTTTTTATTTTTCTCCCCCAAAAAAACTTTTTAGTCGGAATTTATTCAAAACATTTTTTAAATTCCTGAAATCTTTTTCTAAACACCAAACTTTATTCCTAAAATGCAATGAAATCATTCTCAACGTTTAATTTGTGATAAACTTGTAACTGAGTGTAATCAAGTTTAATCTCACATTATAATGACTTTAATCTCAAAATGCTTTTATTTTTTTATAACAGCTTGGCCCTAATCCTCTTCCCTAGTTATCACAACAAAAATATCAAATATCACATATATTTAAAGTATCCCTCGAGAAAATATGAAAGTTTTGTTCAGTATTCTTTGACGATAGACGATAGATTGACGATAGAAATAAGAGTTTAAATGTAGAAACCATGACTGTATAATGTATATATTCCATAACCGTTACTTCTGACTGATGTGCTGCAATTCAATACGATTCAATCCCAGCGTTAATGAATTAAAACAGCTTGTACTCTAAACAAACACTAGAGGTCAGTCTTACGCTGTTGATCTGACTGAGCGGAGCCGCTTCTGTGCTGATGCTGAACCTGTGCACATTATCCAGCAGGAGACTGAACACTGGCAGATACAGCGTCACCAGACGAGCCTGCTGAGCCTGCACACACACACATCATGATTAGCACATGCTTATATTAACACACACACATGTTTGTTTCTGTGAATTGTGGGGACATTACATAGGTTTCTATTGTTTTTATACTGCTTGCCCTAACCCCACCCTGCCCCTAAGCCCAACCCTCAGTGGAAACTGCAGTTTTTCTTACTAAATAAACTCATTCTGTGTTATTTAGAAGCTTTTTGAGAAATGAGGACAGCAATGTCCTCATATTTCACCACCTTCTTGTAATACCTGTGTCATACCATTGTCATAATACAGATTTGTGTCCTGATATGTCACAAAAACATGGACACACACACACACACACCTTGGTGCAGTATCGGTCGTCGAAAGCGTGTTTGATCATCAGGTTTTTGAGCACTGCTATGCTGATCTGCCGGATGTCTCTGCACTCCTGCACGGCTGCGCTCACCTCCCGCAGCAGCAGACCCACCACAAAGTGATTCTTGCAGAAATCATCCGTCAGAGAGTAATCCAGCTGCAGATCTGGCACATTGATGAGGGGAAACATGCTTTAACATGCGCACACTCCGACTTTTCAATGAGATAGTAAAGCAGAGAGCAGCGAAATACAGCTGAAGTCAGAATTATGAGCCCTCCTGTATATCTTTTCCCAATTTCTGTTTAACGGAGAGCAGATATTGTTCAACACATTATAATAGTTTAACCAGTTAAACTCCGCTGACCCGGTACCGCGTCCGTGTTGTCATCGACTTTCGCTTTAAGATTTAAAGGGCCAGCATTGCACCAGACCCCCGTAAGTGGTTTCTTTTGAAAGTGTAGAATCTATATTTTATGCACATATCTGCATCACTTTGGTTTTTATTCTACTGTACAAAAGTTATTTAATGTATATAGTATTTTGGATACCCGAGCTTGATATTGAACATTGGTTCATTTTCATATGGTTCATAAATGACACATGTACAAGTTATAGCTCAAATGAAAGCTGTTGCCGGTGCTCATACGGTTCTAGCACTCTTTTTACTGAATTATATTCACATATCAAACTGTTTTCAAATGAATCTCGGTGTCTCCATGGCGCAGAAATGAAAACAATACATTTATGATCAATAAGCAGCCCCAGATAGCACAGACAGCTGTCATCTCTTACCTTATGCTGTGCGCTTCAGGGCCATTCTCCTCTGTTTTTGAGCTGATGTGCATAAGTAATCCATTTATATGTCTGACATGGTCATAACACAGTGAATTATGTTTGATCAGACAAAAGAATAGTGAAATATGTAAACAATGATCGCTCCCTGTGGCGTGTACAGCACCTCTCATCAGCTGGAACACAATAACTTCTGCATAGATTATGGTGGAGACATTTCTCTTTTTTCAAAAAGCGCCTCTTTTTTTAGGTGTTTATTATAACATAGACAACATATACATTTATTTAAAACACTTTCAGTAGTGTTTTATGAAAATTCAAAGGGTTTTCTTCAAAATGATACCACATTTTTGCATTTAAACCTCTGCATGTGGATTTGGGAAGCTTTTAAATCTGGGTAGGCAAAATCCAGGCGGAAATCCCCAAATAGCAGCAGAGTTTAACTGGTTAATAACCCATCTCTAATAGCTGATTTATTTTCTCTTTGTCATGATGACAGTAAATAATATTAGACTAGATATTCTTCAAGACACTAGTGTTCAGCTTAAAGTGACATGTAAAGGCTTCACTAGGGTAATTAGGGTAAAGTTAGGGTAATTAGGCAAGTCATTGTATAACAGTGGTTTGTTCTGGAGACAATCCAACACTAATATTGCTGAAGGGGCGAATAATATTGAACTTAACATGGCTTTAAAACAATTAAAAACTGCTTTTATTCTAGCAAAAAATAAACAAATCAGACTTTCTCCAGAAGAACAAATATTAGAGGAAATAATGTGAAAAACTCCTGAATCTGTTCAACATCATTAGGAAAATAATTAAAAAGAAAACACATTCACAGGAGGGCGAATAATGAAAATTTTAGGGATGGATCACCTTGAAAGCGCTGGATTCGACCCTTCCCGAACGGCATGGGCAGATTGAGAGGAATATAGTGCTCATGATTGCAGACCACCTTCAGAAACTCAAACTTAAACTCATACAGCGTCTGAGAAACAGAGAGACAGACAAGAAAACAACGTACAGTATATATGGAGATGTTATATGCATTTAAAGGTGACTTATTATGTGCCTTTTTGGATGTTAATGGAAATGTAAACATGTAAAATACATCTCTGATCCTCTCTAGTGTGTGTGAAGTTTGAGCTGAAAATATCACACAGATAATGTTCTCTAGCTCTCTGAAACTGACCCTTTCAGGCTTTGATCCTAATTGTGGTGTTTTGGTGACTGTCGCTTTAAATGCAAATGAGATTTTTCAGAAAAGGGCGGAGCTATGAATGCCTGTGTGTCAGCATAGTGGCAGATTCAAAACAAAACCAGCATCCTATGCTAATGAGGGAGAGATGGGCATTAGTGGGCGGGGCTTTCCCCCTCTGATGACATCATACAAAGGGAGAGTGTCAATCAAAGTGTTTCTGCAGACTGCTTTCATCAAGTCTGATTAGAACAAACACAATTAATACATGCAGTGCATTAGAGGATGGAGATATTCACACACTGCTGACACACAACTGGGGTTAAACCCCTTATAAGAGTGAGATCTGCATAATAGCTGCCCTTTGAAGTAAAATAGATATAGGGCATCATGATCAGCAGTAACTGACCTTTGAGTCTCCAGGCGTGAAGCAGGTGATGTAGTTGTTGATCTGCTTGAAAACAAACCCTCGGTCCATGAAAGTAAAGCAACGCTGTGAAAAACACACACACACACACAGTACAGTTGTGTTTTACTGAAGGAGAGTGATCATGTAAACACACTTGAACAACTAAATGAGTCTATTGAACTGATTATATTTTAACATCGATGCTGTAAAAGGAACCGTATGAAACTGAAAAACCGTCACGTTAACCATTCACCAGAAGTTTACCTGCAGGGGAAGAAACACTCGCCATGCATTTAGCCCTATTGCAGCACATTATTGCAGGACAGCATCTAAATCTGACCTTGATGAAGACGGCGAGGCTGTGGTTGGCGTTTCGTGTGGCTTCCAGGTTTTCCTTGCATTTCTGTGTGATGTGAGGCATCAGTAAAGTCACCAGCGTCTCCACAGAGTGATAAAAGGAGGCTGAGAATCGCTGGTTCCTGGACACCTGAAGCAGAGGACAAACATCTCACACATGTAGTTTAATGAACACCATTCACTTTCCCCATAGTGAAACAATACACAAGGAACATGAAATAAACAAGCCACTAGAAAAGCAAACAGAACAAGTAAAAAAGCCTTTATTGACATGGCCATCGTTAAAAAACCTGCTCAACCCTGATAAAGGCAAGTGTAGGAGCGCTGCACTATAGGGCTGTTTTATAAAGCAATGGTCATGCCAATAAAGGCTTTTGCACCTATTTTTCGAGTGCCCTTATTATGATCTCTTGTGTATCTTTATGAACCCCTTATCTAAAGGCACCGACACATCTATTACACCTGAAACACTTTGTGTCTGATTTTGGAATTAACTATAAAATATAACTAATACTTAAATGTTAACTAACTAACTCTAAATAAATAAACAAAAATAAATAATGACAAACAAACAAACAAATGCAATTATAATTACATTTTAAAAATGTATTAATTTAATTTAATTTAAAAAAGAAATAAAGAATAAATAAATAAATAAATAAATAAATAAACAAACCAGGTGGTCATTTTTACATTTTATAAATATAATAAATTTCTTGTTTATCTTTAAGAATACCTTATCCAAAGAACACAGACACTATTACACCAGAAGCACTTATTGTTTATTTCTGGATTTAACTGTAATACATAACTAATAAATAAACAGTAACTAACTAACTCTAAATAAATTAAGAATTAATTAATTAAATAAAAAATAAACTAATAAAATAACAAATAAATAAAAAATATCAAATAAAGTAAAATAAACAGACAAACAAACAAATAAATAGAATTAGAATTACATTGAAAAATTAATAAAATAAAATGAAATAGATAAATAAAATGAAATATAACTGAATAATATAAATAAGTAATGAATAAATGCAATTAAATAAAAAATAAAAATATATATTATAAATAAATAAAAGTAAATAAAAATATAATAAAACAAATAAATAAATACAATTAAATAAATAATAAAGAATACAAAAATAACTAAATAAAATGAAACAAATAAAGAAGAAATAAAAAATAGATATTAATTTAATTAAAATACAATTTAAAAATTAAATAAAAAATCTAACAAATAAATAAATAAATAACCCAAGTGGTCATTTTTACATTTTATAAACATAGTTGATTTCTCATGTATCTATATGAATCCCTTATCCAGAGAGCACCGTCACATCTATTACACCTGAAGCACTTATTGTTTATTTCTGGATTTAACTGTAATACATAACTAACTAACTAACTAACTAACTAACTAACTAACTAACTAACTAAATAAATAAGGTAATAAAATGCAATAAAAAACATAATTAAATAATAAATAAATAAATAAAAATCGAATAAATAAAGTAAAATAAACAGATAAACAAACAAATCAATAGAATTTAAATCACATTGAAAAAATAAATAATGAATAAATACAATTAAATAAAAAATAAAATATGGATAATAAATAAATATAATAAAAATATACTAAAATAAATAAAAATAAAAAATAAAGAATAAAAAAATAAAATTAAATAAATAAAGAAGAAATAAAAAATATTAATTTTATTAAAATATAGTAAAATAAAATCAATTAAAAAATTTATTAAAAAATCAATCAAACAAACAAAGAAACAAATAAATAAATAACCCAGGTGGTAATTTTGCCATTTTATAAACATAATTTCGTAAACATTATTTTAAGTGTAGCTGTCTGCTTTGGTTTATAACTTACAACTCTATATTGGAAAAACGAATAGGAAAATTACCACCACTGATAAAAGAGAGACCACTGATGCACTATAATGTTATATTAAAAGGGATGTTCACTTTTAGACTGACCTTATTCTTGCCCGTCTCCATCAGGAACTGAGCCATAGACTTGACCAAAACCTCAAAGAAATACCAGGAGTACTGGAGGAGAAAGACGATAGCAAAACATTCAGTACAGTCCTCCTCTGACACATGACACCATCATCACTGCTCGCTGAGAAAACACACTGACATTACTAAACTTCTCATCAACTCAAAATGAGAGAGGATCATTTCAGTTCAGGTGACTTTTAGGCTCTTATTAGAGATACACTTAAAGGGGAGAGCACCCGAAAGTGAAAAAGCCCAAATCTTTTTCTGTCTTCTGTTAAACACAAAACCAGATAGTCTGAAGAATGTTGGACATTGATTTCTGTAGTAGGAACACAAAACACTATGGCTGTTGTTTTTGGCCAGCATTCTTCAGTATATCTTGATGAGGAAATGATGACAGAACTTGACGTTTTGGCTGAACAGTGCTTTTAAGTGTAAGACACACATGAACATGATCATTTTGCTTCCACTTAAGACGGTTTTCTTGCAACACAAGGTAATAAATGACGTATTTTTAGTTCAAACACACGCACACACACTTTCACTACATTCTGGAGGCTTATATTTTCTTGTAAAAGGGGCATCATAGAATATCTTTACATTTTTTCTTTACTAGCTCTTTTTTAACAGTCTACACA